TATACAAATCACCAACATTCCACACATCACTGCAGTTTTATTATACCTAAGTATATATTGTACTGTAGAAAATATGCATTGTGTATATGTGTGTGGGGTATGTTTTTACTATATGTGTGCACTATTAAATGAGAGACATGGGCATGAATGTGGTAGGATTGTGCACATTTGGCATATTGATAGTTTCTCTGGCAACCTTATGATTTCTTTAAAATACATGCTTGACTTCATAGTCACTCATTTGGGGAGAATATTACATATTTATTGGGGTTAAATTCTATCATTATGCTTATAAAAATATAAAAATAAGTATGGGATATAATAAAATAGAAACAAATATCTGATTTTAAAAATGTGAACTTTTTAAAGTTGCTTTTGAATTTCAAATACAAGTACATTGTTTTCTGTGGGAAGTTTTGTTAGAAAATTGTGGTACAATCAACAAGCATATGATATTTATTAATTAATTAAACCAAGGAGTTTATAAATTGTAAAATTTTCTGGACAGTTTCTCAACTATAATATGTAACTTTGTTTTATTTATAATTATATTATTTCAAAAATATAAGAAAATGAGAAAGAACATAATGTTTGTGAGGCAGAAAGCAGAACCTCTGAGCTAAATCCCCGGCCCAAGAACATAATGTTTGAAGATCATATCAAACTAATGTATTTCAATTAGTCTGTTACATAAATTCTTGTTTCTTTCATATCCTTTTTTTGCTGTCATATATATGTATATTTGAAATTTTTATGTAGTATCTTCATTTCTTGTTATCATATATCTTTGCAATCTTAAAAAAAAAAAAAGCAAAAAGACCTTCGATTATACTTTGTCCAATCACAAGATACAGGGAGTTTAGAAAATACAGAGAAAAAGAAAAACGGTCTCCCCTCCAAAGAGAAAACACGTCTATTCTTAGCCCTGTGGTTCTAGCAAGACACATTTCCGGGCCTCACCCCAAGTGGCTGAGTCAGTAGGTTTGGGGGAAGGTAAAACTGTGCATTTCTAACAAGTTTCTGGGTGCCACTGCTGCTGTTGGTTTGAGGACCCCACTTTGGGAGCACTGCTAAGCTCAGGGTCGCCTCGGGACTGTTGACCCGGGGCTGAGTGACGGTCTGGACTGAGGGCTGTCTAGGCATCGTCTGCACTCATGACATGCCAGCAACACATTCCTCCTGAGACACGACAGTCAGAAATGTCTGCAGACATTGCCAAGTGTCCAGTGGGGGTGGAGGGACAAAGTCGTCCCCAGTAAGAATCCTGGATCTATTCTTACCATCTATGTCCATTTACATGGGCACTGAAAGACCCCACTAACTCATACACGTATTTCTCTTTCTTCAAGAATAAGGTCAAACTATAAATACAGTTTCATAACTTGCTCTTTTTCACCTAACAACACATTGCCAATTAATTCAGCAATTAGCTCTGCTGGCAAAAAGAGAAACAGGTTTTCTGTGCAGATGATGCTGGAAGCATCACTTGGAAGCCACTGTGTGGCTCCAGGCTTGTCGGAGCCCTGTCCTTTCCCGCAGGAATGGGGACCTCCGGCTTTGGGCTTAGAAAGCTGTCTTTCTGGCTTCCTCAAGTGCCTTCTTACCTTGGAAGTAAAATGACTTCTGTTACTTGCAGTGGACCCAGGGACTCGTCTTGTCTAGAGTGGGGAGTGAGGGTTACCGGCTTCCTCTTTGGCAGTAAGTGGCCAGGCTGCGATGGTACCAGCCCATGCAGCCACACTGTGGGCTGTGAAATGGTTCCTGGAACTTTTGCCACCCTGTTATTTCTGAGGTCCTCCTGTCTGTCAGCCGTGTGGCTTCATTCGCTCCCACACCGGGAATCAGCTCTGCACTTTGTGGAGGGCATCGTCAGGGCTACAGCCAGGGTTGTGAGGTGCTGGTTGGGCAGGGCTGCTGGGAGGGACACCGGGGAAAGTGTGAGGCCCTCGCTGTCCCCTTCACGGCTGCCTCTCCAATGTCCTCTCTTCTCCCCTGCCAGCCCAAGTAGCGAGCTGCCGAAAGGACTAAGTGGAGTTAACTGTGGCTCCATGGAAGCCCAGGCTGGTCTAAGCCAATCCACATTTCCCCACCCTCTATTCCATGGGGATTTTCCCTACCCCCATGATGCTCCAGGTCTTGTAGCATCGGCTTGTGAGAATCCATTATATACCTTTCTCCCACTGTGCAGTCCCGTTAGGAGCTTGGTAGGAGTGTTTACACTGCCAGAATAGGAAAGGCTGAAAATCAGGGCTTTCTGCCTTCAAATCAGGCCTGGCCACCAGCACAAGACTGGACCTCTTCCACTGACTGTGACTGATCAGGGCAGGGGCCGTCCAGCTGCTGAGGTTGGATGAAGCCAATGTCTTGAAGACAGAGTGGAGAGAGAGAGAGAGAGTGTGGCTTTTGATGACATTGTCCGCTTTTCTCATTTTCTTGACAGCATCCTAAGTGACCCTGCTTGGCAGGGGGGTGGGATCTCAGAGGCCAGTGTAGGACCCCCCCCACCTGCCCATCCCTGCACCCACCCATGCAGCCTTGTGTTTGCCACTGAGCAAAGTGCTCCAGTCTTGAGTGCTGCTGTGTGGTCCTTCTGCCTCTTCTTCCTCAGGAAGTTCCCTTGCTGAGGGGTCAGATTCTCTTGACCTGGAGATGAGCCTGTTTTCGCCAGGTCAGTTCCTAGACTCTGGTGTGTAATTAGGAGGGAAGGAAAAAGTAGGAGGGAAGATGAGGGCTGGCCTGGTGTCTTGGGGCATTGTTGGTGACCAGAGATTTGGAGTGGGGAGACTCACCTGGGAAACCGATGAGCCATGAGCAGATAGGACAGACAGTTTCACGTGATTGGAGTCCCTTGTCATTTTCCAAGAACCACTGGTCAAGGATACCCGAACAACTTTTGGAACACGAGCCTGGCACACACAGCCCTGGGCTGGATGTGTGAATCTTGTCCCACTTTTGGCTCTGCTGCCCAGGGGGCTCAGGTATCGGGACAGAATTGGGACTGGCTGAGTCTGAGAAGGATTTTGGCTTTGTTCTTCTGGAATTTTCCCAGGAAAGACATGGTGGGCCCAGGTATTCAGAGAAAAGGATTCCAGAGCTATGGAAACAAAGCGCTTTGGCTTTCCTTTCCTTTCCTCTTCCTTCCTCTTCTCTTTCTCTTTCTTTCTCTGAGAGGCCTCCCAATCTTATCCGTGTGCTTTGGTCTCTTGTACCAAACGATGGGGAGCACAGCAGAAAGCAGTAACCTGGGCGAAAATGGTAAAAATGGCCCGGAGTTAGGGGTTTTTCTGGAAGGAATGGAGAACCAATTTTCTGTATTCCATTCGGGGGTGGACCCAAGTCAGTGGCCTTGGACAAAGCCTGATACCAGTTCCATCAGCTGCCATGAAGCTCGAATGGGGTGTTCAGGAGCTGGTTCTGGTCTTTGAAAAAACGCTTTGCAAGTCGGCATCCCCAAAAGTCAAGCGAGTCTCCCGTATCCTGGAGAGGGGTCTTGCTGAGCTTTCCTTCCCTTACACCCCACAGCGTCAGCCAAGCACCCTTCCCTCTGGAAACGGACTTCTCTTGGCTCTTGGGACACTCTGAGTGGATCTTGAGCTGTTTCTGTCTCATTCCAAGAGCTGAGGGCTCGCTTCCTCAATGTCTCCCCCAGTTCTATCATCGGTTGTCTTGCCCTCTGCAGAGGGGCATCTCCAGCGATTCTATGTTTGCTGTGGTTTCAGCCTCATTTTTCTCTGGAACGAGGGTGCACAAACTTGGGGGTCTGAGTTCTCCAGCACTGAGACTATCCCCTCCCCGACAAAAAGCACAGGAGGCCACTCCCTGGCTGCAGGGCTGATGGGGGGAGATTCAGGGTCCCCGCAGAAGCATGGGGCCCAATGGCAGTGTAGCACCAGGGAGGTGAGGACGGGAGGAGTGGTCTGAGCAGGTACAATCAATGGGATACTCTTATGGCTTAGATCTACAACATCCCCAAGAGACTGTTGGTGTGGAAGGTGGCTGGGTCATGGGGCTGCCCTGAGGAGTTCGTGGCTGACCGCGCTGTTGAAGGTAGGGCCTGGTTGGAGGTAGGTGGCTGGGGTGTGACCTGGAAGGGAACATTCTTGTCTCTGGCTCCTCCCTTCTCTTTCTGCTTCCTGATGCCGTGGTTTGAGCACTTTTTCTCCACATTGCCCCTCTGCAACTGTGAACCAAAATAAACTCTCCTCTCGGTGGCAGCGGGGTGGGTACTGCTTCCGGTGGTGGTAGAGTGACTGAGGCAGGAGAGACGGGCTGTGCACTGGCAGAGGTGCCCCGTGTAAAGGGCAAGAGACAGCTCCACCCCAGCTGACAGCAGTCGCGTGACAGTGAAGAGGCGTGGTCACCTGGCAGGGCTGCTGATGAGGACAAATGAGAGGCTCATGTGCAGAACCGGCCGCACGGCACGACGCCGACACACAGCTGCCTCTTCTAGGGAGCTCTTGATTCTTCCGGATATCTCTTTCCCTCCTCTGAATGGCTGCCGTGCCCCTCATGTGGTCCTGACACACATCCTTGAGTGACAGGAAGTGTCAGTCAGCTATTGTCCAATAGTACTCTGTAGCAAATTGTCCCCGAACTGGGTGGCTTGTTCTCATGATCTCAAGAGCAGTTTCTCATGATTTTGTGGAAGGTTGGAGCTCAGGTGATACAGGTGGGGCTCGAGTTGGGGGCACAGGCAGTTTCTTGCTGCTGGGCTGTGCTGGGCTGGGACAGCTCAGCTCTAGGGGACTTTTGTCGTCAACGGCCAAATGGGTGTGCTGTGGCCCCATTTCTCCCAGAGCAGCAATATAGACACCAAAGGGTGCATGAGACAGAAGAGGCTTCTTGGCACCCAGTAAGAATCCATTTAATCGTGTACCACTGGTCTCACAAGCCCCATGGACATCGTCAGAGTCAGGGACTGGTTCCTGGAGGCAAGGCCCTTCCACAGTGGTCTGAGGTCCCTGTAGAGAGCTGTCACTGGGGAACGGACTGGGGCCGGCAGAAAAGTTGGGAGGGGAGAGAAGGACTCACCAAGCAGTGAGGTGCTCGGTGAAGGAATTTAGACCGTCTTCTGTTCATGAGTGTCAGAAGCAGGTTTTCTTGGGTTGAAGGCCAAGAGGTTTCTGGGGGTGGAGGCTTAAGGGAGCTGGCTACTTCCACAGCAAGCAGACCTATCAGAGAGAGCAGGTAAAACTTAGCATGTAATCCCAGCACTCAGGAAGGAGGCTGAGGCAGGAGGATCACAAGTTTGAGGTCAACCTGGGAAGTTTAGTAAGATCTTGACTCAAAGTAAAAATTTTAAAGGCTAGGGATATAACTCAGTGGTAGAGCACCTCTGGGTGCAATCTCCAATACTAACAAATAAATGAATAACATTAAATAAATTTAAATAGAAATTAAAAGGAGCAGGTAACAGAGAGTGTCCATTTGTCTTTGAAATGTATTTCTTTTGGGTTGTGTCTTTCTCAAGCAGTTTTTTGTTTTGTTTCTTTTCAGCAATTTTTCTTTTTGTTTAGATATAGTTTTTTCAAAAAACCAATAGCTTGATTGGATGTAAACATTAATCAAGGGATCAAGAACACCTAGCATCATGGGTAAAACTGATCTTAAGTGGACAGCTTGGTTACCCCTGACGCATATCCGTGTCCACACAGCCAGCACCCGGATGAAGACAGGACATTTCATGCCCTGCAAAGCTCCCTCCTAGTCCCTGCCCTTAGCACCACTGCGCTGGCTTCTACTGCTGGCCCCTGGTCTTGAACTTTGTATGTATCGAATCCCACAGCACACGCTCTTTTGTGACACATCTGTGAGATTCCTCCACACCACGGAGGTGCGGTGGAGCTGCCATCTGTTCTCAGCCTGTATCTGTAGCGGTCCCTTTCGTGAACACACCATCATTTACCTGGTCTATTGCCAGACATGGGGTCGCCTCTAGTTTGGGGCTACCGAGTGACGGTACCACAGACACTTTCTATCCTTGTCTTTTGGTGCTAATATTCATTTTTCTTGGATGTTTACCTAAGAGTGGAGCCACTAGATTACCTTCAGCAGATGAAGACAAATGGTTTTCCAAAGTGGATCTACAGAATGGATTCCCCCCTCTTCCTCTTTCCCTTTCCCTTTCCTCTCTTCCTTTTCTTCTTTCCTTTAAAGCGAATGAGGGAATTTAGCCCGTGCACATTTTTTGCAACAAGTGATATCATTTATTTTTCTCTTCTCTATCTTATTTTCTGTTTACTGCTTCTACTAGTCATGGTTCTACCACAAGTTGACAAGAGTCCAACTAGGAGAGATTTATACAAGGAGTTTGGTGGCTCCTCATTGTCGGAGCAGCAGGTTTGAGGCTCCCGGGAGTGACTGTCTCGGCCACCCACAGACCTAGCCTGAAAGGGAGTCGTCATTTGTGCCACAACCGGGAAGGTGAGGCCTCAGACGCTGCCCCCCTATATCCTGGCCCAGGGCCGTGCCACTCTTGCTGGGTGCAGGGCCTCATGCAGCCCGTGACCGTGGCGTCCAGGACTGCACAGTTCAGCCACGGTTCACCCCAGCAACCACACTCTGGTTTGCCGCTTCCCCTTACTTAATTTAATTCTGCCTTGCAGGATCCGAGTTCAATATTAAAAGCACCCTACTTCCCACGTTTCACTTTTTTTCTACTCTGATCGCACTATCCCAATAGGATCCCTTTTACTTCCTTGCCACAGCGTCTGACTCACACTGATGTCTTTAGAATTGTTCGTTCCAGCCTCAGGCTCGGATCCTACTTTCCTTACTATATTTCTTACTGTATTTATCTGGCACATTATTCACCAGTGCTCCCGGAGCTCTGTCGCTGTTGCTGTTTCTTGCCCTCCCCATTTTCTGCTCTTCAAAGGCTTCTGTTTTGATTTGATCTTCAACTTGTGAGGATGTTCCCTGGCTCGCTCCCCTCAGTTTCTCTGCCCAGTCTGTTGTCTGCTCTCTCTGACTGCCACACGGTCCCTGCTCACTTCCGAGATCGAGAGAGCAGCAGTCTCTGTGGCTGCAGGGGCCTCCTCTGGAGGCTGGGGATGCTCAGTCACACCCCTGGAGTCCACCCAGTAGCCAGGCTGAGTCTGGGTGTGCATTTTTTATTCGTCATTCCTTCCCTGGAGCTCTTTCCGTATTAAGATTCATGTCTCTCTTCCCCTCTAATATTTCTTAAGTGATCACATCTCCTTTGGCTCATCTCTCTCCTCTTAGAAAGCCGACAGCTCACGATGTCAGGTCCTGCAGCTGATTTCCCCAGCCCTTATCTTGTTATTGGTACTCTCCTTGCTCTTTGCTGTGAAGGAGCTCTTCCATCTGATCTTCTGGGATGCATACTTTTGTTCTCAGAATATCTTTCCTTTTTTTCACTTCCTTTATTGATTTTTTGAAAAGTACTGTGTATTAAACCCAGACCTGGTGCATGCTAGGCAAGTGCTCTACCATTGAGTTATAATTCCAGCTTTTTAAATGTTAACTTTGGGGCAGGGTCTCTCTAAATTGCCCATGCTGGCCTTGAACTTGCACTCCTCCTGCCTCAGTCTTCCAAGTATCTAGGATTACAGGTGGGAGCTGCCACTCCCCGCTCTATATAACTTTTAATTCTGGAGAGTGGGGATTTAGTTTAGTGGTTCTGCTGCCTGCCCTATAAGTGCAAGGACCTGAGCTCGATCCCTGGTACTAAAAACAAAATGGGTCTCTCTAAATTGCCCATGCTGGCCTTGAACTTGCACTCCTCCTGCCTCAGTCTTCCAAGTATCTAGGATTACAGGTGGGAGCTGCCACTCCCCGCTCTATATAACTTTTAATTCTGGAGAGTGGGGATTTAGTTTAGTGGTTCTGCTGCCTGCCCTATAAGTGCAAGGACCTGAGCTCGATCCCTGGTACTAAAAAAAAAAAAAGTCAACTTAATTCTGGAGACTGCGTGGATGTATGTTTTTGTGTGTGCACTTTGGGTTCTCAGAAGCCGTCTCTCTGGGCGTTGCATGTCCCAGGAAGATTCCCACCCTTACCTCAGTGGCCTCTTCCCTTCGTGGCCTTGGTCACTCTCCTTGGTATTTTCCTTTTCCTCCCCAGAGAAGCAGCCCCCTGGGTGTCAGTGTGGGTGGAAAGGCAGGAACCTCATGGATGGCTCAACCTGAGGTGAAGAGAGGAAAAGGGCTGCTGATAACGCCCTGGCCCAACTGGGACCCGCATTTTAGTGCACCCTGGGCAGGCCCCAGGTTTGACAGAGCTCAGAAGCCATACAAACTCCAGAAAGACCTGGCCATATCAGATGCGCCTGTGCTGGTGAGTGCAAAATAGAACCCAGAGGCCATGGAGAATACTGAAAGGGAGCTTTGCTGGAGGAGGAAGACTAGGGCCCACTTGAGGTTGGAGGAAGGGACCAGTGGGATCTTGCAGCAAGGCAGTTCCCAGTGTTCATTAAAAGTGGCTCATTTCTTCCTGGCAAATAGCTAAACTACATTTGCCAGCTTCCCTGCAGCTGGGTGGGTCTACATGACCACATGACTTGTTCTGTCCAATCAGCTGTGAACAGAAGGCATGCTTGCCACCGCCATGGTTTCTCTGCATGCAGTGAGGAGGGCTGAGCACCATAACAAAGGAGTGTAGCCTCCTGGGTCACTGCCTGAAGGGGAACCACACAAGGGAAGCAACTAGCCAGGAGCATTCATGGTGGACTTGCTGAAACTTGTGTATATTTGTTACAGCAGCTATTTTATGCTGACTCATACAGGAATCTTCCCCAGAAGCACCCAGAGGCCTGTCGACACAGCTGACTGGATCTAGTCATCTCCTGCATTGGTTGCAGGGGGGGGTTGATATCCAAACCATGTCAGGAATCTGCCAGCAAAGATGGGGATGGATTTGAGCTAGGCAGACCCTAGCAGCTGCTGTGCTAGTGAGGCTAGACAGCCTTTTCTGTGTTTATTCACCAATTGCACTTATTTTATCAGTTACATTTATGTTCTTTGCCTATTTATCTATCATATCTTTCATCTTTTATTTGAAGAAATGATTAGGGATTATATAATAGGGGTTGTAATGAATGTTTGTCATGATTTTTATCTGCCCAGCATTGGAATCCCCGCCTGTGTTTGGATTAATTCTAGACTTTGGGGCTTGCTTTCCCATCATACCTTGAAGTTATGATGCAGGCCGGGGCTGAGGGAAGGAAGCTGATGAAGGAAGCCAGCAGGACCGGTATGGACTTTATTCTGGAGCGAGTGGGCACTGAGGCAGCCGATCTGGGGCAGAGCCCAGCACCCAGCATGGAGGCAGCTGTGGCGTTTTTTCCAGACCAGCTACAGCACTACTGCTATTGCTGTCTGGGGACTTTGAGCCTGGTTCTCTGCCCGCCCAGAACTTGGCATCTATCCTTTTACTGCTTAAATCAGCTAAGGTCAATTTCTGTGGCTTACAACAAAGAAACAGATGTGAATCCTTTGTGTTATCTATTATAAGCCCTTGTCCATATTACCCGTGACAAATTTTTTTTTCAGGTGTCATTTATTTTTCACTTTTAATTATCGATGTATCTATCTCTCAATGAAAGATAACTTTCCTACACAGAGGTTTAGATTCTTATGTTGCCAAAAAGATTAACGGTTCACTTGTTTTTGCTTTTCAGGTCATATTTACAAAGGTCTACTATAAATCCGAGGTTATAAAAATTCACCTATTACTAAATTTAAAAATTATTTGATTCAAATATTTATACTTAAATATTTTGCTTAAACAAATATAGTCATCCCTTGGTGTCTATAGGAGATTGACTCCAGAGCCACCCCAAATACCAAAACTCACAGGCACTGAATTCTCTTATATAAAATAGTACAGCATTTGCATGTAACACGCACACATTCTCCTTAAATAAGCTCTAAATTTCTTATAATACCTAAATGCTACATAGATAGTTTTATACTTTGTTGTTTTGGTTATAATAACAGGAAGCATGCTCAGCTTGGGTGCAATATTTTTTTTTTCCAGTTATTTTGGACCTGCAGCTAGTTGAATGCATGGATTGGGAGCTGTGGGTATGAGGGCTGATTGAAGACAAACACTACTGCTAGGCTTAAAATAAAAATAAATTAGTACTCTGCTCCTTTTCTCTGATTCCTCAAATCCTTCTTCAGGAAACACCACTTTTAGCTTTTAATAGATAGTTCCTCTTTTTAAAAAAATATATATCTTCGTTTCTAAATGAAATAGTTCACACTGTTCATTCTTGGGTTTCAGTTTAGCTGGAAAGGAGATTTTATTTTCTTACCATTCCTACTTCTATCATCTGTCCCTGCCAACCCTTTTGGAAACTATAGACCCCTCTGTCTTTTTCTGGTGGTGGTTGCAAATTCCATATAGAGTAAGCAAGTGATTTTTCTTCCAGCTTCCTGGGGTTTGGATCCACTGTCTGCATCCCCTGGGTGATGTTGAGCGTGCTCCTCTGTCCCCCATGTTTCTCATAATTTGGTAGTTGGATGTAGTTTATCTGTAAAGTGCCAGGCTAAATATTTAGGCTTTGTGGGTGGTGGGTTGTAAGGTGAAAGCTACTGAAGGTAGCGCAGAACACTGGGCAGGGACCTGTCCTACAAAACCTGACTTGGGGCCCTGTTTACAGACCCCACGCTTGACCAAGCTCAGGTCTGATTCTGCTCTTCGTTGGCAAGGCCACTGGGTGCCCCATTGTTCCTAATTGCATTGTGACATGAGAAACACAAAAAGAGGTAAAAACTGAAAGCAACTGTTCACTCTTGGTCCCACCGCATTTTTGGGGAAGTGTATAAACGGAGAAGTGAAAGCTCTGTCTCTGTGCCCTAAACACTGCTGCTTCCCCGAGAAGCCCTTCCAGTTGGGTGCCGCTTCCTGCAGCCCCCAGACCTGTTCCCTAATGAGCTGCCCATGTGGGGCCCCACTTCTGCCCCGCAGGTGTGACCTTCCAGCTCCCCCTCTGGGTGACAGGTGACTGTTTCCCTCCCTGACTCCAGACAGAGCGAATGGATTTAAGTGACCTTCAGAAAAGTTAAGAAAATTTCCTCCAGTAGTCAGAAGGGCAGAGACGGGACATCGTGAGTGCTGGATGACTCAACGTGCCTCCTCAGGGTGGCAGAGGCAGGGTGGGGCGGGTGCAGCTGTCCCACGGGAGCTTCGTGGTCCCGCCGCTTCCCCAGGTTTCCCTTTGCGTCCTCTATGCCCTGGCCGCTGCCCTCGTCGGGACTCGCCACCCCTGAGGACCAGATCCCTGGCGACGTGCGCGGGCCCCGCTAGATGGAGCTCTCGACCGCGCCGTACCTCCCTGAGTCGGACCGCACGGAGGACCCCATCGGAGGGGGTGGGGTGGTAGAGGGCAGAGCTAGAGGCAGCGCAGCTTCCTGGAGGGATGTGGGGCGGTAACCTCAGGCTCCTTCTGGCTTCTTTTTTGGCTGAAGCTTTAAGGAAACAGGTGCTCTGAAATCACACATCCCGACAAGGAAATTTGCACAACTGATCATCAAGGCAGTGCCTTGGAGCTCACAGACATCTGACCTGCTCCTGCCCATTGGCATGGGGGTGTGCAGCACAGCGGCTGGGACCTGGAATGTGGTCCCTAGGGAGAGGGAAGGGGCCTCTGTGCCCTTGCACCTGTTACTGTCAGTCCCTAGGAAGGCATCTGCAGGGCTTCTCCCAGAGCTTGATCTGTGTCCCCTGCAGCTTGGTGGGTGGGTGGCTGGCATGCACCAGAGACAATGGAATGGTGATTAGTGGATCAGCTGAAGATAGCAGAGGAGATGGCTGTGGCTGGGAGGTACGTGCTTCGTCAGGTGGCTGCTGGCTTAGTCCTTCCCTATGCATGGTCCCAGGCAGTCTGTCCCCTTCTCTGCAGTTGTGCTGTTGGATCACAGAGCCACAGCCCTGGCAGGGTCATGGCACAGCCCATACCGAAGGCCATCCCTTCCCTTCCCCTTCAGATGGGGCGACATCTAGGGTGCAGCTGAGGTCCCGGCTGTGGACCTTGCTAGGGAGGGCTTATCCTGAGACCACGTCCGTGTTACCAGTGACACAGTTCACAGATCGGGTTTGCCACAAAGAAAAGAGGTTTATTCTGGCTCACGGATTGCCTCAAGGTCAAGGGCTGGCATCCGGTGTTGACCTTCTTGCTGGCAGAGACCTAGAAGTGCAGGCCATCGCATGGCAAGAGGTGGGGAGTAGGCAGAGCTACTTGAGAGGCAAGTAGCTACTTCAGAGCTCAAGTAGCTCTGAAGATAACTCATGAGCTCACAAATACTTTAATCACATGAATGGACCCATCTATTCATGAGCCTTGAGTCCTGCTCACTTTTTAAATATTTTTTTATTTTTTATTTATTTATTTGGTACCAGGGATCGAACTCGGGTCCTTGTGCTTGCAAGGCAGGTGGTCGAGCCACTGAGCTAAATCCCCGGCCCTAAATATTTTTTTTTAGACAGGGCCTATTAGTTCAGGTTGGTCTTGAACTTGTAGTGATTCTCCTGCCTCAGCCTCCTGAGTGCTGGGATTACAGGTGTGTGACAGCATGCCTGACTCCTACTCACCTCTTCAAGGCCACAGCTTTTAATACCTCATAAGGGGCATTAAGTTTCAACATGCCCCTGTTTTGAGGGAACAATCCTTACCTGAACCATAGCTATTGTGAGCCCTTTGTCCTTCTTGGTCCTGCTGCCCCCAACTTGCTGTTGTCACCTTGTCTTGATGAGCTGGCAAATGTCAGTCTTGGGCTTTTGGATTTGCCAGAGGCAAGGAGGACCAGAAGTGGCCCTGGAAACTGACCTGAAGATGACATTCTGCAAGATGCCTGGCTGGTGATAGGAGTCAGGGAGCCTGCTGTAGGTGATCCCTGGCACAAGATGGTCAGGCCTCCTTTCCTGTGGTGACCAGGGACATATTCAGGTGGACAGCAATGCCCTGACTGGTGCAGCATCGTTGTATTTAACACAGGGAGAGCAATCATTATAAAGACTACAGAGGTGGGGTTGTTAGCTGAACACCACTGCTTCTTTAAAGTGGAGACAAGCCCAGGGTCATGGGTCACCATCTTGAAGCAGGCAGGATTCCTAGTTAGCAGTTAGGGAATTCCTTATTTTCTACAGCAAGAGAGTAGGTAGCAGAAAACAAATTGAGCACATCAGAGAAGGTTGAATCCCCAACCTGGAGAAGTCTCTTGTGTCAGTCAGTTTTCTGTTACTATAATAAAATACCAGAGGCGGGCTAACTTTATTAAGTAAAGAGGTCTAGAGACTCTAAGTGCAAAGAATGCAGCCTAATGAGAGGGCCCCTTGTTGTCACCTCCTGGTGGAAGGCAATGGCAGGAACCTATGTGGAAATGAGTGACCACACCGCAGGCAGGAAGCCAAAGACCCAGATGGATGTGGCCAGGCTTGGGCTTTTCGAACCCTCTCCTGAGACTTACTAGGGGTCATCAGAGCTACTTGAAACCCTTCCAAGGACAGGAGAGCACATCCCCCATAACCAATGGGCCTCTTATTAGGCCCCACTTCCAAATGGCCCTGCATCTCTCACAGCACCATCCTGGGAGCCAAGCTTCATGAAAGATGAAAAGTTTGGGGGATGCACAACCCATAGTATTTCCTCTCCAGGGCTAGGTGGGGAGGGAGGGGTCCCTGAGGTAGAACCGTCTCAGGAGATGTTTTTGAGAACATTAGACCTCCAAGTGCTATCGTGGCCGGCATCCCCTTCCTCACCCTGGCTTAAAGACCGTGCAGAAACTTCAGATGCAGGAAGGGGCCTTAGAAGACAAGGCATCTGCCCCTCGAGCATCTGCAACCACCTCCCCTCACTGGGGCCAGCGGACTCAAAGCTGGACCACATCTGTTATGGTTTGTGCCTAGATGTCCCCCAAAGCCTCATGTGGTCATGGGGGTGCTTTTTGAGGTGGCTGGATCTAGAGTGTGTGACTCGGATTGATTCAAGTGTAATGCAGGATCAAGGGCACTAGGATTAAGGGTGTGAGTGCTGCCCGCCCTAAACAGCCTGGATAAGACATAAGGGACAGAAAGAGCTGTGCTCAATCCTTGTAGCTTTGCTATCTTCTGCCCACTATGAACTGTTTCTTCTCTGTGATGCCACCCTGTCTTGGAGCCAGCTAATTATAGATAGAAACTTCTACAAACTGTGAGCTAGAAAACCTTTCCCCCTTTAACTTTGGCTGTTGGGTGTTTTTCTTAGCAATGAGAGAAAGTAACTAAGACAACATCTCAGCGTGACCTGGTCAGGCCCATGCTTTGCTGCTAAGGGACCAGAGGGACCGATCACTAAGAGCTGCAGAGCAAA